CCTGAGGCCAGCAGAGGTTGGCTTTCCTGGAGGTGCCCTGTTTGTAGGCAGAGTGGGGTCCTGGAAAAAGCCCTGTGGGAAGGGACGGAGAGAGATCCTAGCAGGGCCCATCTGCCTTGCCATGCGGACTCCTCCTCCCTGCTGCCCAAATTCAGCAGCCCTCCTTACTCCTGGTTAACTCCTGCCCTGAAGAACAACTTGCCACCCTTCACCCAGTAGGTAGGAACTAGGCACATCTTGCAAAGCTGGTGAGGTATCCCCTCTGCTCAGGCAGGCCCCTAAAACACAAGTCAGAATTGCTTGTCTGAACCTGTGAGCCTTCTCCTCTTCATGTGTGCAGGAGGTTTCTGCTCCTGAAAGTTTTGGTCACCCTCAAGGTGCCCACATTTGTCTTAGAATGAAATCTTCTCCTTTTTTCCCCCATTCCTATCATACATGCAATAGCTTGCTGTTCATTCCCTTGCAAGGCCTGCAAACTTATTTTCTGTCCAAAAAAACATCTCCTCTCTCCTGCAGAAGGTCTGTGATGCATCCCAGATGTTTGCACATGGCTGCAGTCACCAAACACAACAGATTACAGAAGGGAGATGGATGAGCACCAAACAATTTCTTCTCCTCCTGTCCCTTGGAGGCAGGGAAGTTTTGCTGTTGGTTCTGTTTGCCATGCTGGTACATGAAACCTTTTAAACATCACTTGAAAGCTTCTCCATTTCTAGCTGTGATTGTCAGGGGAACTGGAAGGGGGATGCAGAACAGGTTTACATCATTCTATAAGATTCATCTTGTATCTTCTGTTTGTTTACCTTTTTCCAGTTCCAAATTAGCCCATTACCATCCCTTCAAAGAGAGGAAAAGTGCTGGCAGAGATCGTCTCCACCCTGTGGCTGCTGGTGGTGTTCTCAGTTCAGCCTCAGGCTGTATTCGTGGCTCTCTCTGGTTGCATCCTTTCTGCTACCCTTGCAGGATTTTTGGCAAAAAATTCCTGCTTTTTGAGGCTGGGTTTGTGCCTGGCCAGCTGGGGCCCTTGTCCCTGGCTGAGATCCTGGATGCTGAGCTTGTTATAAAATAATTTATTCTGTTTTAGGGTGTGTTTATCATATGAAAGCTGCTAGGCCAGAGAGGGTCTCTGTGCTGCAATGACTACCTGTGCCCAGGTACTGTGGATGGTACTTTCTCACAGTGAAGCTGCCCACCTCCCTTATTGTCTGGCATTCTGGCTAGGATGGCACTGTCAGGACTGTCCTGACCCACACTGGTGACAACCAGCAAGTGTTGAAGGGGAACACAGAAAGAGAGCTTCTTTTACACAGAAAATTTCCTATGCTTCAACACTGTGCTGGAAATAGGTCCAACAAAACAAGATTTTATTTTTTTTTTTCAAGAGAGAAGAGAATACTCAGCTTCACAGAGCGAAGCAAGTGGCTGAGCAGCTCTTCACTAGAGAGATCTTTTTATTTAGAGGTTGAAACTGGTAAGAACCTGTCCACTCTGCCCTTTTTTCAGCAGTCTCAAATGAAATGCTGTTTGCTCAGCTTCCTGGAAGGATGTCAAAGCTTAACATTAACAGGAATACACCTTTCCTATGGACAAGGAGTGAAAAAAACCAACCAAAAAAGTAATGTATAATGATCTGTGCTGACAGCTTTTTCTAATAAATAGTCCATGTAATTCACAACAGGAAAGATATTTTTATCAACAAACTACTTTAGAAGAACAGACTGATGGGAACAGTCCTCCCAGCCTGCACTTTGGTAGAAGGTAAATTCTGTCCCAGTGATGCCTCACACACACTGGATGTGTGGAGAAAGGCAGAGTAGGAGTAGATATGTGAGGAACAGCACTGAGAAATTGTGATGAAAATCATGGGAACATCATTTTCCAAATGGGATGAGGAGCTCTGGCTTGTACTGATACATAGGTTGTTTGCATGGCACTGTTTATAATTTTGCTCACACTTCCTAAATGGTACCCCTAATGAAAAATTATGATTTCCTTATAATCTGTCATGTATCTGAATTGTTTGCTGTATTTTCAATGGGACAAACTGCCATTTTCTTGACTGATTCAGAAAAGTGAACACTGGAGACAATGAACTGACTAGGAACAATGAAACTCTGTATGTGAAACCTGGCTGGATATTACCTGTTGGATTGGAGCTCATTGAAGCTGATTTGGGAAAATCCACGCTTGACCTCATCCCTTGCCTTTTCCATCACAGGGTACCACAGACAATCTCAGATGTGCCCAGGCCATCTGCTTCAGACATCCTTGAATGCAGCCATCCCCTGGGCACCAGGGAAAACTGTGTGACACACAAAGCAGCAGCTCCTCTGGTTTTTGGGGTCCTTCAGTGAGAGATTCATTTGAAGCCTGTCTCTGGCAGCTCTCCAGGGCAACGGGGATATGTGCTGTCACCACTTTGCACATCCCACATGATGAGGCACTTCACCTGCCATGGAACAACCCGCTGTGGAAAGCAGGTCCTGGTTCTATTGCCTCAGCTCCTACCCCATTTATTCCTCCATCCTCCTCCTTTGTATTAATTTCCTGAGCTGCCCTGGCTGTCACATCTGCACAGCTACCAGCTGGTTTCCCATTTTTAATTGACCTCAGAGGGCTTCTTCAAGAGCAACACCTGCTTTTGTGGGGGCCTTAATTTGTCACTGTCCAAACTGGAGCAGCAAGCATTTAAAATGCAGCCTCTATGAGCATGTTGTATTTCTTCAAGTGCGTGATTAATTGCTAGGCCTTTACAGGCTGCACTCAGCTATTTCTGCATAAAAGAGTTTCTTCTGCTGGAAAGCTCCCCATATTATGGATATTAAATATCTTCTTCTCCGTACGACCTGGTTTGTTCATCCCATTTGTTCTTGATGAAAGAAGTTCTATGAAACGCAAAGAAAGCTCAGTGCCTTCACAATTTTATTCTGTTTAGAGGAGGAAAAATAGTTATTTTTCTTTGTTAGAAGTGTTCTTATAAGGAACCACTTGAGGTTAAGGCAGGAGGGGATGTTTCAGGATTTTCACCCAGCCTCTGCAGCAGTGTAAGCAAGCAGTTTGTATAATCCAGCTCATAAACTGCTTGAATTCTACCTTATAAAACATTCAGCTCTTTTTTTTTGTCTTCTTTCACAGCTGCTATTTGAAGACTACTACAAAATCATAGTTTTTAAGCCCAAAATTATTTCCTTGTTATAGCTGTACTTGGAGAATCCCTCCATGGATGGGCAAGGGCTGCTTTCCCTCTCTTACAGAATCTACTCAGTTGGGATGTGGTCAGCAGGGTTACCCCTCTCTCAGCCCTCGCTTCTCATGGACAATGAATGAGTTGTAAGATGAGAACCACATTGCTGCCTACTCTGGAAAGCAAGGACACAAAGTCTTGCACTCCAAAGCTCCACCAGTATGGAATACATGGAAGAAATATCAAGGGAGAGTGCAATTTACAGATGGATGGATGGATGGATGGATGGATACATTGGGAGGCAAATAAGCTCTTTAAAAAAATTTTTTTAATTTGTCAGAGCCTCCCTCTGACCTGAGATCATGTAGAGGGTGTGAACCACGTCCTGGAAATCAGAAGCAGGCTCCTGCTGAGTCACTTGGTATGGTCATGTCCTTGCAGGGCTAAAACTAACCTGCATAGGGGGTACAGTGAATGCCAGTGCACTGGTTGTTTTAGGGATGTAGGATGAGCAGCACATGGGACTGCTGAAGAAAGGTTAAAACTGCCTCTAATGGACACATGGCCCCTTATATACAGTATAGTTATATACATTTATGTGGAGCCTTTGCATGGAGGCAGCCCAGTGAGAGCAGCAGGCTGAGTGAGCGTTCAGTAGGGATTGTGGATGATACCCAGCAAGCCTGACCTGTGTTCTAAAGACTTTGCAACAGCTGATGTCACCTCAGCCTCCCTTTTTCTCTCTGGCAAGGAAGCAATGACAGTCTCCAGCCAATTTTGAGGCTTAATTAATAGTCATTGAACAATGTATCTAAGTGATGAGTAATGTTTTAGTGTATTATTAATTTATTGGGAAAAACAGAAGGCAGCTCAAGAGCAGTCAATGCCCACTCTGGCAGCCACAGAAAATTGGTTGGTCATGATGCCAGCAGAGAATGCTGACATTTTGGGGCTGGCTGGCTCCCTGCAGCCCCTTGGCGAGGAACAGAGGAACATCCCCTCTATGCATGCATTGGTGTCCCTTGCTCCTGAACACAGATACAATCGTGGTACTAAAATGCCTCATTTGCTGCAGCCAAGGGAGGATCAAAATCAACTCCCAGGAACTCAGCTAAGCCCTGATCTGTGCTGGTGTGGAAAGCGGGCACTGAATTTCCCCTTCCTCAGCCCACTCTTCATATCCCTCCTCACCATTTCTTTGCTACCTGTGACTATTCTTGTCGGAGTTCCCCTGTGACCCAAGGATTCTGCATTCAGCCTCGAGCCAAGCTTCAAGTGGACACAAGTAGAAGAGCCACAGGTGAGTCACACCCCTGCTCCCCTCCCCTCCCTGCTTTTGTGTGTTTTGTTCCCCACCCGTGGGATCCGGCTATAATGACAACAAAGGCAGCCTGAGATGCAGCCCAAGTCCTGAGAGAGGGGATTACATCCAGCTGGTTCCCCTCGGATCATTTAGGGCCACGTACCCAGGAAGGTGCTGCTCTGCCCACTCATCCTCCTGTGGAAACAGGAGCAGGAGCAGGTGGGAAGCTTGCTCGGAGTGCTACATGGAGGCAGCAGGTTTGGGGTGAGCAGTAATCGGCCCTAGCGCAAAGGGTACGGGGAGAGTTAAAGGGGAGAAAGAGGAGAAGCTGCGATGAGAGCCGCAGAAGGAAGGAGCAATCCCGATCCCGCCTCTCCTCACGGAAGGCCGGGAGCGCGTCGGGCCCGAGGCGCGGTTTGCGGGCCGGCCGGCAGGGGGCGCGCCCGGGCCCGCTCGGGACTCCTCAGGGCCGCGGCCTCGCCCCCGCCTGGCGGGCGGAAAATGGGGAGCGAGCGGGAGAGGCGGCGTGCGGGGAAACCTGTGTCCCGTTCTGGGCTCCTCGGTACGTGAGAGACGTGGAGCTCCGGGAGCGGGCCCAGCGGAGGGCAACAGACCGGCAGCAGCCCTGGGGCGGTGCTGCGGCTGCACGAGGCGTTGCGCGTCTCGGACAAACACCTGGCTGGGCTGGGGACAGAGCAGGGCAGGCCGCTGGCAGCTCACAGCGGTTTCCTGGTGAAACTGGGCTGGCAGAGCTGAACTGCTGTAATTGATACGGATCTGGGACAATGTCATGCTGGTTTTTAAGTCCATAGCAATTTTCATGTATTTCAAATATCGGAATTATCCATACAGTCCATATAATCCATGTAGTCCATCTCTATGAAGCTTGAGAATTACTGTGTCCAGTCAACTGTAATTCTGAAATGTTCTTATTTTTGAACCTTGCCTTAACTTAGATGTGTTTCGATACTTACACAAAAAATGTTTTTCTCTGTATGTGAAAGTTGTCTTTTAAAACATGTGTTAAATAATTCTTGTGCTAAAATGTAGGGTTTCAAACCTTCCTCTTCAACCAGGCCATGTTTTCTTAAAAAATTCCAGTTGGATTTGGTGCAACCTGCTCTCTCTGCTAGGGCCCTACAGGGAAGAGAAGGTGAGGAAGTGTTACAAGGAGCTTTTCCAATGCCTTTCACTTCCCTGTGGCCAGAGCTCATTTGGTCTGCACCTCCCCTGAGGTGTGTGGGTTAACATCTGACAGATGCCACAGCAGCAAGCCTGATAGAATTCAAGAAGCATTTGGACAATACTCTCGGGTACATGGTGTGATTCTTGAGGATGGTCCTGTGAAGGGCCAGGAATTGGACTTGATGATCTTTGCGGGTTCCTTCCAACTCAGAATACTCTGTGACTTTGTGATGTATTGTGATGTATTAGTTAGGAGACAAGGAAGATGACCAGCACTGCAAAACCCTCTCATTCACCCCTTATTTGCAAAGTCTCTGTACTTGTGAAGGGTGCAGGCTGGTGTCTGGGCCAATGAAAAAGTGTTTCCACAGGGCTGCAGTCTGTGCAGGCAATGCAGGCTGCATCCAGGGGCATGCTGGAAGGCTCACCCGCTGAGCCTTAGCCAGCCATGCCACTTGCATGGCCACCAAGGTCATTGGTAAAAAGGGCTCTTCTTCTTTAGCTGTGAAATTGCCATTTTTGGCACTATTATGGGGAGCTGACTGAGACTTATTCCTGTGCAGGTAGCCCTCAGCACCTCCCTTTTCTGAGGACCCATGTTCATGGAACATGAGGGGAGCATCTCTGGCAGACCTTGGCAGTGTTGCTGGGAATTAAAGGACTCATTGGCACATCTGCACCTCCATCATCCGCTCCCTGCTCTGTGGTCAGTTAATATTAGGAAAAGGAGATAAATTCTACTGAGTAGGCTTGGAGACTTGTTTCTGTTAAATTAGTCTCTTCCACGGACATTGTTGGTTTGTGGAGCTTAGAGTGGAGTAAGGACCCTTTGTCCTTGAGGCCTGTAGAATTGGATTTTGAGGCCTTGTTGACATTTGCACCATCTCCCACTGGGAAAGGGCGGCTCTGGACAGCCTGAGCCTAATGCACCCTCATAGCAGAGACAATGCTCTTAATTTCTGGGCAAGCAGCTGATGTGATGGTGACACAGTAGGCTTAGAGAAGTGGGTCTGGAGAGGGCATCCAAGGCTCACCTCTCTTCTTAGAAGTGCAAAATGTTTTGTCATGTCCATTGCCTAGTAGGAATGACATGTTCCTGAATGGATGTTCAAAAGGTTAAATAATGAAACACATCTGGAAAAAAGGACTGTATATACGAGCTACAGCATGTCATGTGATGCATTTAATGTCCTTAATTTACATGCTGACAACTTTGCCATTTCTAAACAATGTTATCATTCGTCTTTCTGATAATTAATCAGCACAAGCTTCAAACACTGTTTATCACACTTTGATGCAGCAATTAGTCAAGAAAGGCAAAGTGTTGAAGGGAAAGTTTTGGGCTATTTTTTTCTTCAAAAATCTTACAGTATTTACAAAGAAGTGCTTTTTCTAACACCATTTTAGAATTATTCACTCATTCACAATCAGTCATTGTATAAAAACATCATTCAGAAATAGGTTTTAAAATGCACCCACCTCCATTGCATAGTATACAGAAAAATAGGTGAGAGTTAAGACACTTGATTTTTGAATGAGAATGTGAATTGATTCAGAGGTATGACATTTCTGAGGAAGAAAGATGCACTTTTCAAAAGATAATGAGCTGAAGTTCTCCTGAAGCTAGTGAGCTTCTTAAAGGTCTGCCATCAAATTTTGCTTTTACAGATCAAGATCTTTTACCAAACACACAATGCTTGCATTAAGGTCAAACAAATCATATTGCAATTGGATTTACCCTCCAGTATTTGCACGTGGACACTGACAAATATGAGTTACACAAAGTACTCACGAGGATCGGTGTTGGTTTCATGTGTCATGGCCCATCTGTGGAACTACTCAAGGGACCCAATTTGTTATTTTCAATTTCTGTTTGTATAACTGAGGAGCCGAATATACCCTTACACCTTTAGAAACATTTCTTCTGTAAGAAGATCTTGGCTTCTGCTCTCTGGTAAGACCTAAAATAGTATGTTGTGGAGGGGTTAGCAGGCACTGATGGTGTCTTATCCTGATGATTTTCAGACAAAACTTGGTCATTTGGTTATCTTGTATGCTGACTTTTTTTTCTTCTTCTTCTTCTTTTTTTTTTTTTTCCTTTAAAAATGTGCTCCAGTGATTTCATTAAGCCTGGTCCGTTAAAGAGCAACAGGGAACTCTGAACAATAGGTGCTTGTTTTACAGCTACTGCAAATGCTTCGAAAGCACTAAATTGCCTTTTATACTCAACAGTCTAATAACAAAGCCTGATTTTTTCAATTTTTCTCCCAATTGATTTGATGGTTCACTTGAGCTTTAATAACACATTACATAAATCTTTACAGCTAGTACAGAAGTCTTTTGTCAAGTTTAATTTGGTGTTTGGTTTTTTTTCCCCACAGTGTAATCATTCAGCCTTAAATGCACTGTAGCACACATACCAGGATCGTGCTTGTCTCTGGATCCAGAAAAGTAGTAAGTGCTAGAGGTTTGTTTTACATGGGGAGGGACCTCAGTCCTTCCAAAGGCAGTTGTTGCTGAAAGCTCCTGGTTCAGAGGTATATCAGATAAAGTGCTGTGCACTCCCGAAGGCACCTCTGGCAATAGCTCTGTCCACTCCTGCTGTTTCATTTAACTTTGTTGTTACAACTTTGCTTGTGCTTGATAGCCCATGGTGGAAAAAATCCCCAGGATTAGCTGGGAGGATGGGAGATGTATCAGTGTAGACCTCTCTCCCTGCTGCAGAATAAAGGGAAATGTGCTGATCACTAGGTGGAGGTATAGAGAGCAAAAGCTGATAGAAGAGCAGTAAATGTTGAAAAAACTTCAGAAATGCAATTGGGTATAAAACATCAAAATGTGATCAGATTATATTATCTTCACCAGGCAAAGCAGAGAGGCTGTTAAATGCCAGACTTCCTCATCCTATGTTCTCCTGACCCTTGTGTGTCCAGATGTCTATTCATTTTCCCACTGGCTTTGAAGTGGAGGATTTCTGTCACTTTCTTCTTCCCCTCTGCTGTGGCCTGTGAGGAAAGCCTGCCCCTGGAAATGGGCAGAGCCAGTACTCATGCTGTGAAAATAAGGAAAGGCTGAGAGAAGTAGGATGCTCTCACTGCTTTCCTGCTGACCCACCTCTCTCAGCATTATGGTCCCTCAGCAAAGCTCTTGGCTCTCTAAAGACTGTGTCTGTATAGACAGGGCTTGGCTGGTGCTGTAAGGAGATGATGGGGCTCTGCTGCTGCTGGAGCTGGAGATGAAGGGGTGAATCAGGATGAACCCAGCTAAATGCAGGGAGGTTGGTCTCCACTCCTGAACGTCTCAGTGTGGTCAACCAGAGTGAGCTCCTCAGTGAAAGATGCTGGGGTGAGATGTGTTTGATGCTCAGAGATCCCCATATGCACCCACCAGAAAACTTTGTGGATACCCAGCCAGGATTCTGCCCTCACTGGCAGTGCTGTAAATCTAGGTGAGTGACACCATTGTCCCTAGCTGTGTTTGGAGCAGCACAAAACCTGGCTTCATATTAAAACCATTGTAAATGCAGGATTGGTCAGATTCATGCCTGGTGGAGCACCATGGAAGAGTGGGGGACAGCACTCTATTAATGAAGCTATTATTCAAATGAAAAACTTTAAAAAAACAAACAGAGAAGGATGGAGTTGCTGGTGACACTGACTGACATTGTTCAGGGATCACAGGAAGGAGATCTGCCTGGAGAACAGGGAGAGCAGAGCTAGTGCCAGGACACAGCTGCTGCGCGGGGGGAGTGGTGCCAAGGGGGCTGTGTTTCGGAGCATGCACTCCACCCTGGACCAGGAGCCATTGTTGGGCAGTGGCTGTACTCCTGCCAGGCTGCACATGATGTTGTAAACATCCACAGATCTGATGGGAGGCGCTCGGTAGTTGGATCGGAAATCTGCAGGCAAAAGAGAGGAGATGGCATCATGCAACTTGGGCCTCAGCCCCTGGAATGTGGGGTGCTGTGGGGCAAGGGCTCCTTCACCTTTCTTGGGACTTACCCATCAGGCTGGGTTGTGGCATGCTATACAATTTAGAGCATAGCTCAGCAAAAACATTAATTTAAACAATTTTATTCATTATTTTTATTCTAGACCATTTTTATTCTAAAAGCTAAAAAAGCCCTGAATTTTTAAGTACAGGAGCTACTTTACTGCATGTGCTTGATAGACTTAATAGCCTCACATAACTGTATTGCACATTCTGCTTTCACTGGTGCAATACAATTAGCCTGGGAGTCTGCCTGGTGCTCTGCCCTGTTTAAAGGGCCTGATGAAGTGGAAACCAGGAGTTATGTGTCTGCCCATCAGACAGGTGGGTGAGTTATGCTGCAGCCTTCCCAAAGAAAGTGCCCTGCTGTAGCAAGTCTGAATTCCCCCAACAAAAGCAGGATTCATGTGTTTCAAATAGAATTGAAAGTTTAGGCCAAAATTTAGGAAAACAGGGCAAAGAGTTAGTAACTGCACTGGGATATCAGAGAGAGGCTGACCAAATCCCTTCACATCTCTCTGCCCTGTTTCTTCAGCTATAAAATAGATGCAGTGCAACAAACTCTCCATAGTGAGGAAATCCTACCATCTATTTGTAATTTTTAGGTGTCGCAGAGTGCTGTATCGGGGTCCTGATGTGCCAGGGGCTGCAGGGATGCAGGGGTGAGGACCATGGGGCTGCAGGGGAAGTGGAACACCAGGGATAGTGTCACTGTACCTGGGCCATATGCAAGGAAGAATCCTCTCATGTCCATGAGCTCGTTGTCGTAGCCATGCCAGCCATTCTGCCAGGCCTCCTTCCTCCCCGTCCCGTTCTCCCAGTAGGGCAGCTTGTCCCTGCTCTGGGTGACAACAGCAGAACATGGTTAGTGCCTGCCTGCTGGGCTGTGCTGGGGCATTGTGGGGTGCCATGTTGTGTCTCCATGTGCTGTACCAACCCTTCAGCACCAACCTGTGACCCCTGCACAGGGGTGACTCCTCGTGACAGGCTTTGCTGTCTCAGAGTAACCATTTCCCCCTCCACAGGGAGGGGAGGACAACTCACGTAGATTTCTGCCACAAGCACAAAGTACTGCAGTGGTATGTGTAAGAAAGGTGCTGGCCGTCTCCCCATGCCTGCAGCACTGCTCTCCCACCCAGTGCCATGCGCTTCTGTGGGATTACTGGGGTGTTGTTCTGCCCCACATGCCATTGACACCTTAAAAAAATAAGTAATTTTTTGTTCCATTTGACTAGTCAGCCTAATAATACAAATATCACCCCTACTAGATATTTTCTAATTAATATTTCTTCTCCCTACCTGTTTTGGTATTAAAGCAATGAGATTTGTTCCAGGGAACACTGGCTCTGACCTGAGACAGTCCCACTCTCTGTGGCCTGTGCTCTGTTTTATTTCTTTGCTCAGTGGATCTATGCTTTATTGATTTGTCATTATAAATCTTGTTCTTCCTAGCCCATATTGCACTTAAGATGTACTTTCAAATTCCTTCCTTACTTTCTCCTGCTTTGTATTAACAGCTCTTACCTACAACAGTGCCATATCTGTCAGAGCAGCAGGCCCTAGGGGCTGATCAAAATGCTGGACCAACCTGTCCATGAGTTTCTCCTGTCCCATGCTCCTTAGCGATAGCAGCAGACAGATTGGCACTCCACATTGCCCCAAAACTGTGACAGGAATTTCACTTAAACAAAGAACATCAACTGACAGTTTATCAGACCCATGACATTAATTTCTCTGATAATTACAGAGAAGGAGCTGCACAGCCCTCTAGAGTGTCCAGGTCTAGCCTTCTCACTTGGGCACAGAAGGACAGAAGATGCCCCAAAAGAGTTTCCCACACTGCCACTTTGGGCAAGTTCTGCAGCTCCTGCAGATGGTGATGCAGATTAAATGAGGATCCCTTTCCTTTTATAAACATTTATTTTGTCTGATTTTTATCTTCTTCCTTAAGAAATAAAATTGACTGTGCACTGAGGACAGCAGTAGTGATGACTGAGAGGTATAGCTCTTCCAACTATTTTCCAGAGGACCCCCCTTTTTCTTCATATGTAATACTTGGCAGATGTACCAGATAATTGCAGAATAATACAGAATGGGTCAGGTTAGAAGAGATCACAGTAGATAATCTGGTCCAACCTCCCTGCTCAAGCAGGGTTGTTCTAGATCACATTGCACTGGATTGCATCCAGACAGTTCTTGAACAACTCCAGTGAGAGATGTTCACAGCTTCTCTGGGTAATCTGTTCCAGATTAAATGAAACTATTTTAGCTAACAAATTTCTTTTCCTGCCCCCATGTATTTCCCTGCTCTGAGCAAGCCAAGAAGAAAGCCAGCTCCTTCTCCTCTTCCTGCCATAGCACCTCCTTATGCTGTAGCTTCCTGGGGATTCCTGGGGATTTAGTGTGTTGCTCGCCATCAGGCAACCTGCACAGCATTTGCCAGCATCAGCTTCAGACAAGTGAAGTCACTTTAAATTTCTGGTGGTTCTTTGGCAGCATAATGACATTGCCATACCTACACCCCTCCATGGTCCTAGCAGATGTCCTGGACACTGCTGCTTCCCCAGAAATATCAAATGCAGGAGATAGTGTGCTTTCCATAACCCACCCAGACATCAGGAGGCACCTACTTGCAACAGAATGTGCAGTCAAAGGCACAGTGGTTACCATTACTTTTGGTGCCAGCTGAGTCAGAAAACATACTACTAACTTTCATAACTGCATCTGAAGTGAGAGTTCATGAAATGGAACCACTAATGGCAGTAGCTTGAGGGACAGGACTGTGCAAGCATCCCAGCACTGCCCTTCTGGAACATCAGGCTCCGCCTTACAGCAAACCCCAAAAACTCCTGGGGCTTCTTTGGGGCCAGGACACTGGCAGCACACTAGTGTGCCTGCCTGGCAAGGCCAAATGGGATGGAGAACTCATCCGAGATGTAATTTTTCATACTCAGACTAAGCCTGGCTGGCAATCCTTGTCAAAGATGAAACAGACATATCTGAGACTGCAAACGATGGAGTTTTCCCTGCATGTGCATGTTTAGAAAATGTGCTGCAACTGATCTCTCAATGTTGGGAAAGTACACTGGGATGGGTACAGAGTGAGCATGCAGCTCTGAGGGCTAACACCATTGATGCACACTGGAGAGCAGCAGGGGGATCTTAGGCCCAAAGGATGGGGACTGCTCACCTGTGTGAAGGGAACAAGGTCATATGAGCAGATCAGCTTTGATACAGCACAAAATCCCTCCTCATCCTGCTTTAACCAAAACGTAGATGGGCTTCAGTTCCTATGCTCCATGATGAGGAAAACAACTTTCCAGATACATCCCCTTTGTCTCTTTCAAAAACCACACCACCAACAAAATCCCCTTTTTTCAAACAGCTTTTAGCTATCCACTAACTAACAGAGAATTAAAAAAACCTGGGAGCATGACCGGGAAGAGCTGTACATCCTCTCTTCAGTGGTTTGGGCAGGAAGTATAATAGAAGGCTCAATAATTTCTTTAAAAATATGACAGGAAACTTTCATTTTCATATCCCATTCACAGATAATGAAAATGTACCAAAGAGAAGGAAAATCTGACAGCATTAATGAGAGGACATTCTTGAAAATCGGAAACAATGGGAAGGAATGGGCAGAGAGACAGAAATAATTATCATAGCAGCAGTGTTTGCTGCACTGTTATTAAGGTTTGTCAGACTTTCAATGATTTTTGAAGTGCTTTTTTATTTTCTACAGAATATGTAAAAACGTTCTATTTTGAACTTTTGTGCAAGAGAGTTTAGTTGTATTTTTTAAAAATAATTTTGGAGAAAATGTTTCAGATTCCTACTTTACCTGTCTAAATCTTAACTCTGGCTTTTTATATGCTTTTTTTTGTTTTTTTTAAATTTTTTTTTTTTAGATCAGAAATGTGGTACTCACCCAGCTGTATTCAAAAGCCATCAGGTTTTTTTAGAGGTGTATTTTTATTCAGCTGTATAATAGCTGTATACTATGCTAAATTCATGTTGGCTAGTGAGAAATGTTGTAGTGTGGACTGAGCAAAGCTCGGTGAGCAGTAGCTCTGAAGGCCATGAAAGAAGATGCTCAGCTGAGTTACAATAACCTGAAAGGCAATGAAGTGCACTGACTATGCTGGGACACAAAAGAAACTCAGGACTCCATGGTTCTGTTGCCAACTTACTGGCTTCATGTGTGGCCTTGGGCAAATCACTTAATACCACTGCTCAGTTTACCTCCTTAGAAGATACACAGTTGTCTCACCCTCTGAGCTGTGCTGAGCTGCAATTAGTATCTGTAATGTGGAGGTGCCCGGTAGTGACACAAGGACAAAGTAACAACAATTCATAATGCGAAAATAAGTTAGTATAAAAAAAATCTCTTCATGTTTGGGTTCTCTGCTTAACAAGTTCCCAGGTTTTCAGTCTGTGCACCGGGAATCTCTGAGCAGTAAATCTCCAGTCTGACCCTTTTGAGACTGGTGGACTTGGGAGAAATGGGGCATTTTTAGGACAGTCTGATGGGAGGAAAGCCAGGCAAAAGGAAAAATTGCCACAAGGTACTGCTGAATGGAGGGATAATAAGGACTTGAAATGGAAACACTCTTTTTGTGCCTGAAATGAAGGTAGATGGCAAGGGGGGGAAGAGGAGTAAGGCAACAAAACTGGAATGTTTTCACAAGAAACAAGAATGTTTTCTACAAGAACTACTGCTTTATGACAGTAAAAAAGAGGCATCTTGACCATTTAAATGTCTGCCTTTAGGATAGCTGCAATACCTTTGAGTTCTTTTAAGCACACAGCAGAATTTAACATTAGTTTTGCAGTCAGCCCTTTGACTTTAACTCAATGATCAGCAATATATTGCACCTTTTCACGCTCCTGTCTAAGCATTTTGCTTCTATACTTTACCTCTACTATGAACCATCCTTCTTCAGCCACGAGAGTTAGTGGAGACACAAATTTTCCTTTTTTGTAGAAAAACCTGTTTGGAATATCCTGTATGTTATAAACATCCATGTGTTCCACAGCTTTCAACTTTTGATATATCTGTAAAATAAATGAATATTAGGACACCATACGGCTGTAAAGATCATAAATACACTAATGGATACATGGAAACACCTGGATTTGCAGAATGGCTAATCCCCTGTAATGGCTAATCATCAGCACGTTCACACCAGGACTTTGCCTGTCCAGAGATCATGGCTGGACAAAACCTGCCTGTGTGGTTTAGGGGATTCTAAAAACTCGGATCATAAACACATAGGAATGTGTGAATTCATGTATTATGTATATTTATAATACACATGTTCAAAAATGTATACATGTGAGTGTACCAGTCTACAGAAACAGACCAGGAGAAACCACACCTCCACAGGAGGCAGTGAGTGAAGTGGTGAGACACTCAAAGGCACCATGTGGACTGTGGACAGGTGTGAAAAAGAGATATTGTCTTTAGCATCTGCCACTCATTCCCTCTTTGTGCTCTTGAGTGGAGAATTAATGTCACCTCACCTGTGTTTCTTGCCCTTACCCAGTCAATCACTATCAAGAGATTGATAGTGCTCAGTTATCTGCTTTGTTAGTTCTCTGATGTGAGATTAATTAGCCAAAGCCTGCAGCTTTGAATCTGCACAATGCCATGCAAGTGGTTTATTAATATTAATTATACTGTCTGGAATATAATCACACAAATGTCATTACACCACAAATTATTCAGAAAATAGATTTTAAATGCCTGAAAAATATGTTAATATTCCACAGAGAAGGCAGCTATTGGAGCCCCCAGACTCTATATTGTTCTTGAACAAGTTAAATATAAATAATCTTCAGGAATAAATAGCTCAATTCTTCAAAGAATGAAAGGTTCTTCACTAGCCTTTCAGTTAAGTCACCCTTGTGTGTATACGTGTGCCAAATATGTGCACTGATGTGCAGTGACCATAAAGACAGTACCAGGGTGTGATGGCACAATCCCTTCCACCATGACTAGAACTAGAGAGTGGTCACAAGTACTTCTGGTGCTTTGAAATGGGGTAATTCTTAGAGATGATAACCACTATGTTATAATACACTCCAACTCATAAACATAGCTCTATAAAATTCATTAGAAATAGAGAATCTAGTTATTGGGAAACTGAAAATCAACTTTATTTTGCTTAAAAAGCAGCCCTCCAGTAAGAAATCCTAAAAAGAAACGAAGGAAGGAAACAAATCCATAGTATAAGGCATTGTACTTTATTCTCCTTGGAATATTGGGCTGTTTAACGAGAGAGAAGCATGTGCTGAAGAGCTTTGTCAGATGAAACCCCATGGCTGTGTGAAGTTGCAACTTGCCCTTGTTTGAAGGTCTGGCCTACAAAAATAGGGAGCTCTGGGTTAAGCATATCAATGCTGCGATCCCCTGTGATGCACTTGCCAGTGAATTGCTCATGCATACCCCTAAGACAACTTTCAGTTCTGGCACTAATTTGAAATGCTCACAATATCACAGACACAATTCCTGCAGAGACCGTTTGGGTGCAAAGATCAGCAAATATTCCCTTTAAAAAAAATTGCACAGGCTAAAATATACTGTAACTGGATAAAATATGATGTAGAAACCAAAACTATTTGCCTGGGGAACAGCTTGCCCATTTTGTACATCCACTCATCTATATTCTGAGGACAGCAGTAATGACTTCTCATGCATTAGTTTCGGGTTAAACTATAATGTACTTGTCTATTAGTCAGAGAAATTACATTTTCATTCTTCTCAAGTGATTTTCAAATCTTTTCTCTATTGTTTTAATTTATCCCTCAAAACCCTGAAGTTCTAGCATTGAGCTTTTATGGTTGATTCAATCCAACATGCTTCATCAAAAATTCCTCCAAGGACGATATTGTAAAAAAAATTTTTTTTGCAATTCTGGTCTAATGGAGTTGGTTCCTCAGTGGGAGTTTACTGGAGTATGAATGCCTGAACCTGCTTCAGATGATTTGGACATCCTAGAGTAGAGTGCCAATAAATTGATTAATATATATAAAATCCCAAAAGTGCATTTTGAACTAACATCTTTTAGCTACTTATCAGAAGCTAATAGGGGTGGGGTTTAAAAGCACGTCCCTGCCATGTAACAGTGAAAGTTCATGCTTCTTAGTTTGCCTGGTGTGACTTTTCTTTGGAAACCAGCATCACAAGGATGTCACAGGATCCAAGTGTGACTCCTGATAAGAGCTGATTTTTGCACACATCTCTGAGAGCAGTATTTGGATGTTAAGAGAAAACAGAAGACACAATTGGCATAAAAACTGAGAAAACACAAAACTGAGGGGTACAACTAGGTGGTACTCACCTCTGCATGCTTCTCTGGAACTGGCCAGAGGCTCACAACAGGACCTCGGTCTTTCATTTGTATGGTATCACTCATATTGATATAGTTTTTCAGCTCAATCACTTTATTTGCCCAAGAGATGTCTGTCATGCCATGATCAGAGAAGAGGAGGACGTTGATATCATTCTGAAGGCCTTTGCTCTGTGAAGAAAGTGCATGACAACTTTTAAGGCCATATAAGAGCTTTGCACTGTCTGTGCCTGCTGGAAAATGTAAATCACCTTTTGAACTCCACTGTTTCTGTGGAAGTTAACCAGAAGGATCATGTCCATGAATGTCCTGCAATGTGCTTTGCCACCCACCCACAATGGTGGACATCCACTTTTACTTGCTGCTCTGGAAGAGTCTGAGAGGTTAGCACCAGAGTTTTTCCAAAACAAGCCCATGCAGCAATATTGCCATGATACCACTTGTGGAAGGGGTGTTTCTCTCTTTCCTTCCCAAACATGAGCACTTAGCATTAGAGCTTTTAATATTTAGTGATATTGAAGATGCATATTTCTCTCTTCACTGAAACACATAAAAACTCCAACATGCATTTGTCATTGTTAGAAATATTCATAATTGAATTGCCATTTACCCAAAAGATTTTCTTGCTACAAAATCATTTTAATAATGCTTTTTTAAAACCGTGTTTAAAGTACAAAGTTCTGAATGCTGTCTAAAACCACTATAAAAGTGAATTGTCTGATTCCACAAACCTTAGGAAACACAGTTTTGATTCCTTTTCCTACAGTGAAGTTCAGCTGGCAACACAAGTTGTAAACAGAGCAACATGTATATTGGTTTGTGGCTTCCTGAGGCTACTGGTATGAATCCACCAGGAGGGTTATAATGCCATCAATGAAAATAATAATCAGGGTAATGGTGCCTTGACTTTCACATGAACTCAGTAGCCTGTTTCTCAGGAAATAAAAATTTACAGCCACTGCATTCAGTTACAGGTGTTACATAGGCCACAAAGACCAGTTTTAAAAGCCTTTTCCAAAGGCACCCAGGAGCTGGGTTTATGGATGCCACTCACCTTGATGAGTGAGATCATGTTGCTCAAGGCTTTGTCCACTTCCTTCAAAGCGTTCTTGCGCTGCTGGGACGAAGGGCCGTAGTGGTGGCCCTCCACATCGATGCGCTCGTAGTACACTGCGGCCATCTCGGCACTGTTGTTGCTGGGTGCAGGAGAGAGGGCAAGGAGTGAAAGCTGACACACATGGAGACCTCATGGCTGCTGGCATTGTTTTCTTCACAAGCATGTAGAGCCACAAAACCCCGTTTTCTGCTTCCAGCCTGTGCTGTCCTACCACTTATTGCACTGCTGGGCTCATTATTCACACCCAGAGTCTCCTGAGTTTGCCTGAGACTCCCATCAGAGGCAGCGGGTGGAAACTGCCATGTGCAGGCTGGCCTGGCAGTCCTCTACTAACCTCTTTGAATTAGGAAGGCAGTTTTTCCTTTAACAACAAAGAAATTCTGGTTTCTTTGCTGAATGCCCCTATTAAAAGGATTATGGGAATTACCAGTCAAATGTGCTTTAATTAAAGTTTGGCACTTCTGGCTTTCTCCTGTGTGAGGTCTTCCAAACCACAGAGGTCAACTCAGGATGTGCTCTGCCTTACAAAACACCAAGCAGTATGAACTGGGATGAGATTTTAGAAGGGGGTTTTATTCAGGAACATGAGCAAGGGAAACTAAGGTAATCTCAGAATTGCACAAGTTTAGCTGATCGCACTTCTCTGTATTGACTGCTCTCAACCTCATTAGTGGGAATAGCACACACATCAGTGCTTAATTTAATTTTCATGACCACTTTACTATTCACTGTAAATCTCCCTGAGAGAAGTTGTGTGGATAAAATCACAAACCTATACTCCTGAACCCAAACCCAGTCTTTTTGTGCTGTACTTAATATATGGCAGAGTATGCCATCCATATTACATGCTCTCATCCATATGAAGATCCCTACAGAAAGACTTGTTAGTCCAGCACCTCTGATTAAAGACACCTGGGTAGTCTGGTGTAATGAGTGGGACAGAAGAAGCAAATCAGAGATGAGGGACTGAGTGAATGAATTAGGGTCTGTCATTTGCATTTCTCAGTTTGTAGCAGGCCTCAGAGGAGCAGTCCTGTGAGAAGATGAAGATGTCTGGTGGGGTGGGAACTTCTCCACTGCTGGCCCTGCAGAACAGTGTTGTTCCTCACTCTTCAAGATTTTAAAATAATTTAAATGACATGGCGCTCCCCTCTCCCCAGTTTCATTTTAAGCATTACTTTCCATCTGTATTAGGCATAAATTATTTTCTAAAATTTAACCCTGTAATTTCTCTATTGCATACACAGTCATTGAACCTACTGAAATAGTTCTATTCTGTTGCAGTACCTGTATTATAAGCTACTTAAACTAATTTATGTCTTCTCACCTGTAAGTAAATTATCATTTTGATCAAGATAGAAGCTAAGACAGAGATTTATTGCATAAAACAAGTTATCTCATTTAGGTTGTGGTGAGATTTCTCCGTGAGGGCTCAGTGCTGTAAGGAAGAATATTTAATTACTTCAATGGGACAAGCTCCGGTAATGCAGTATGCTTATGAGTTTGCAGGATTTGGTACAGCATGTCTGGGGCATGACTTTGTTTCCATTTTTGCCTGTTTTTCTATGGAAAAAAGGGTTTTCTAAGTTTTCTAAGAAAACCCTTTTCATGGCTTACATGGGAGAAGTAAAGACAGAAGTCTTTAGACAGAGGTATTCTATTAGTCCTGTCTCCTTCCATCACCAGTAACTTTCCAAATAAATAAAAAGAATGCTGAAGAAAGTTGGACAGCATTGATGGCAACACCAAAAAGTATTTTATATTCGACCAGCATACTTTGCAAGTACAATGCAGACCTCATGACACCTCTCCAGGAAGGTAGGTAGATTACAACAGCCCATAAGTTACGGCTGTTGAAAAGATTCAAGGGAGGTTTTAGTTTCACTTGCTAAAAACAGATGCTTGACTTTGTTTTGAATATTCTTGGTCCAAATAGTGGTCTTGAAGCACCTGTTTGAAAAGACTGGAGAATATTGCTGAAGGATGATTTCCTTTGGTTGCAAGAAAAGCTCAGTGGCTCCCTGATGAGTTAGGTACTTCTCTACCCTGGAGTCCCTGCAAGGTTTGCTAATGGTGGGAGTCCAAGTGCAGTTCTTTAACTACTATTACCTGCCATTAGGGCTACTGAGCAAGGCACTGCTCCAGACAGCAGACTGCCCTTGCCACAGGCTGTTTTCTCACATACAGCTAAGGACAGACTCAGCCTAATGAGCTTTTCCAATTACCTAGGGTGTGGAAAGGAAACACACTGCATTTGCCAGCTTTTGAACAGCTTCAAAAGTCAAAAGCACTTGTGAAAGATATAGATGACAAGCTGAGGATTCTTCTACTCAGAGATGCTAAATCCTGCTAAATGAATATGACTGCAATACAAGCATTTCAGAGGCTTTACTTCTTATGGGCTGGCACAGCAGCATGGAACTTCTTCTTCTAAATCTTAAAGAAATAAACAAAGAGGAAGGATGAGAGAAAGAATAAGGAAAACCTACCAGATTTTTAATCTGTTAATTCTCTACTCTTCCTTCTTTCTTTAAGTCCCTGCAGTATTTACACCCAAACTGATTATTAATTTTATCTAAGATCATTCATTTTTCCTCTTTCCCGCCTTGTTGGAGACAGGGCACTTCATTTAAAGGAAAAGAACTCAGGAAGAAATTCACCAGGGATGGTGTGTAAACAGACACCAGCAACAGGACCTCCTGCTGCACTGGGATGATCTGTAGGATTTGGGCACTTCAGAAGACTGTAGCTGTTATTTGTGACATCTTGGTGGCAGGGATTTACACTTTTCTTGAAATCATCAGCTTTCACCTCTTGAAAGTTGTTCCACTAACATTGTTGTGTCCCTTTCCTTTTCCACCACAGACAGCAACAGGCAGCCTTGTGGCTTGGACAGAATTAGCTATTGAAACTCTCCAGCTACCCAAAATAACAGCTTGAAGGTCTGGTACTTTTAACAGTTTGTGCCTCATTTTAACCATGTTTACAATTATAGAGCTGAAAAAAAAAATCACTGAGCACGCTTATACACTGTGCTTCACAGAAATCAGGCAAGAAGCTTCAAGTATATCTTGACCCATCCCAATATGATACCAGAACAAAAATCTTTCTACAGTAATTCTGGGTTTCCACCAAAAGTCAGAGCCCATGTCTGTATTACATCTTCCATTCCCTTTTTTATTCACTGAATTAAAAGCATTGCAAAAGCTCAAGAAAGTCTCCTATGACACATATGTCTTCCTCATGTCCCATGCAGGTAACTTTCCTTAAATCTAAGCTAAATAATTTCAGGATAAAACCTCTCACATGGTCTCAGAAACCTGATGTCTAAGCCCATGCTGCAAACAACACTTCCTTGTGAGCATCTGTGCAGCAGGACCCAGTGTGCAATGGGGAGCAACTTCCCCAACAGCACTCTCATAATATTGGAGCCTTTATTTCAAGAGCAATCAACACTCAGCACCTGAATACAAAACTTTTTGGATTCAAATTGCTATGGCAGTTGCAAATATTGAAGTAGAAGGGTTTCCTAGGATTGGATTCATTATGGAACCAACAAGGCTTTAAAAGGAGGAGCTTAGTTATAGCCAAAGTAAGGCATTGGTGCTGCATGTGATGATGCAGTCTTCCCTGATTTTACACCCTGTGTGGAATTGTCTCTTGTAAATGTTTGAATGAGAGATGGCGGAACTTGAAAGCTGGATCTAGAGCATACATTTTTTCTAGGAGTTGTCTGAGAGATATATTCCCATCAGTTGGACTATATGGCTGTTGTAGGTCCCTTCCAATGGAACTATTCTATTCTATTCTATTCCCATATTTGCACAAAATTAATGCCCTCTCCAAAAATATTTGGCCTGAGATGTTCTAAAATGAAGAAAAAGCCAAAGCATCAGTCTCATAAACAAGTGACTGGAGCTGAATTTCAGAATTTCCAAATTCTCTCTCTAATACAAGCATTTCAAAGCCTTTTCTTGCAGGAATAGACATGCACAGGCTCATCCTGAAGTTGTTTGAAACAGCAAATTACAAGCAGTTAAGTCAGGATGTCTCCTCCTGTTGCAGCCTACACAGAAACAGAGGAGCACATCTTTCCCTCTACTCTTAATGTAAGGACCTATTTCTGTTACAGTGTTGTTTCTATGATGATACTATAAAGCACTCTTGGCCCTCATTTTCATACCTGGAAGCTCATTCCTGAAAATTTCCCTGATAGTAAATCCAAAGATTTGTCCTAGAGAGAAGAAACCCCACACTGCAAAAATCTAGTGACATACCACAGAGACTCGAGGGCATCGCTGATGGCATCTGCAAAGTTTTTGTCTGTTGGGACACTGAAGTACTCGCGGCAGTAACTTGGTCTGACTCCAAGGATTTCCACCTCGCAACCTACGAGCAAAAAATGTGGTAAGCTCTGCTATTTCACCTTGATCACAGACCTCACACTCTGGTGTGCAAGTTCAGGTCTGTAAATTCCCTGTGACATTACTTACCTTATGCCTTCCTTGCAGGAAACCATGTGGTTGGCAAGGGAAAAGGGGAGAGAGGTTGGTTTGACAAGTGCTTGTAGCAAACTGTACATTGGACCCTTTTATTTCCCTCTCTAAAAGGAAGGTCTCTGTGTGACCTGCCCATAATAAAATGCTTGATTCCCTTGTGGCAGACCATTTCCACCTAAATCACCAGCTTGTTTATATTTTAACTTTTGCAGCCATGTAGCCTCATTTCCAGGCTTCCAACATAATAGATTTAGATATTGTTCTCTGAAACATCAGCAAATACTTTCCAGTTAGGCACATTGTATCATATTGCAATATCCTCTATAAACTGTATTTTATTATGTGATACTGGCTCTCCACTATTACATCTGTTTCCCAGGAGGTCTTATTAAAACAGTGTAAACCAATTAACTCTCTTGGTAACTTGCAGCCTTTCTTGCAAAATAAAGTCTGTTTTGTGGCCTAAAAATTTATGGCAACAAATCCTACAGGAGAACATGGCCCTGAACATAGAAAAACATGTTTTTGTGAGGTTTCTTTGCCCTTTTGCTCTCCAGTTACTATGCTGCTGAATAATATTAATATTTAAAAGAAGTATGCTTCCAGACACACTGGATCAATGCAAATTATCATTCCAGAACCCCAGAGTCCTCCCATCACAGTTAGATGTTTTCTGGTGTATTCAGAAATACATCAGAAAACAAGGGGCACAAGGAGGAATCAAAACAAAACAACAACAAAAAAAAAAAAAAAAACAAAACAGCTTTTGCAAAATGGTCTCTGTATACAGCAACACAGTCTGGTCAAAAAGGCAACTCTAAGCCAAAGCCTGAATCTGTACATCTGGGTCCCTCTGCTTCTCCTTTGGGAGGAAAGTGAAATGCATTAAGGATTGTCATATGTTGACTTGTTGCTTGGAGTGTGAGACGAAGGTGTAAGTACAGAGAGGGCCCTAGAGCAAGCGGAGCTACTATCAGAGGTGATTTACAGAGGTTTGCTTACTGGGACACTCCATAAAGTGAGTCTGTCAGTCTTGCATCTCAGCTCCCATGAGCTCACATCACTCAGGTGCAGTACTGGGATGCAGGGGAAAAGCACACTGCTCACAGGCCAAGCTGGCTAGGAGTCTTCTGACGTGATAGTTCAGGAGTGAAAAATTAGAAAAACTTACATGTTTAAGCTTAGGAAATTTTTAAAACCTTAAAAAATTATTTGCAGAAAGCCAGATAAATCAGATGGAAATTATCCTTTCTAAAAGTTAAAGGGCCATAGCACACATGACAGATTCAGTCTCTTCGCCTGTGGTAGCAGCTTCCAGGTCTGCACATGCTTTGTGTGTTTCAAGGAACCCCATCTGTTATGATTAATTAATTATTTGCAATAATAAACATCAAATGTAGTCAACGGATTTATTTTCCTGTAAAAACACATTTGCCTACTCTTGAAGCTATATCTAATTTTTATTTCTATTAAAATTGTGGGATGGTGCTTACTTTTCATTCTTCCCCTGTTGCCCCAAACGTATGATTTAATCTTCCACTTTTTGCATGAAAATACCTCAGTGTTCACCTCTCCACCATGATCCACCATGACAGTTGTTTGCAGCCTGGATAAACAGCCAGCAGATTACGTGACAAGAACTGACTGTCTAGATCACCCCACAATAAAACTCCTATACATCTGCAAACAGCATCCCCAAGAAATTACACTGTGCAGCAGAGATAGGTCCATGCTGATACTGAACCAAATCATCAGAAAAATGTATTCCATGAATGGCCTAAAGTCATACCCAGCAAGTCCCCTACCCTGAGGGCACAGAGATCCAGTCTTTTGTAGGATGTCCTGAGTGCTACCAGCAGCAAAACAAGGGCTTTCAGCTACCTCAGATGCTAGCGGGGATGCAGTTGTCCTCTGTGGGCTTTGCTAGCATTTCAGGACTGAACTGAAACTTTGGAACCAATTTCTCTTTTCATACTTGAGTCTGGTTCAATATTGTCTCCAAAACCAGGAAAGAAGTTAAGAATGCTTTTGCAAAGTTGTTAAAATACCTTGTGTTTAACTTCAGCTGGATAACTGCTCATAGCCAGTGACTAATATGATCATTTTGCCTATTTTTTCTTCAGATACTGACATCAGATTGTAATTTTCTCAAATAACTTTCCTCAGAATTACTCATGAGATAATTTTAACTGGGAGCATTAACCTCTTGGGAATCTGGATATTTTAGTTTCTGAGCTATCTTTGCTATTTCTAGATTGTCAAATGATGAGCATGACGTAAAATACTACAGGGTAGCAACAATTAGAAATAATTTAATCATTTTGGCCATGAAATAGTAGTCTTCAAGTGTGCAGTTCACTGACAGTACCATTTGAAATCCAAGACATTTAGACACCAAGAGCTTCCTTTTCCTTTTTTTTTTTTTTTTTTTTAGCTTCTATGATGGATAGAACTTAAATTAGGGTTTTCAATGTTAAGGCTTATTACAAGTCCAAAATACTGGCTATGATGACCCTTTAATATTTAAATTTCATTTTGGAAGAGGCCAGGATAGATGGTAAATTTTCTCTTTTAGATATTATGGGAAAAAAAATTTTAACAGATTTGGAGGCAGCCAAAGGGAATGCTAAGTTTTTCTCGGTTAAACTACAAATAGTTAAGCTGTATTTACTAAGATGTAATGCTAGATACCTTTGCATAGTTTTGTATGATGCTAAACTTTTATTTAAAAACCTGAACTACTGGAGCAGGAATAAGGACTTCTTTCAGAGTGATAAACCCCTCTTTATCTATCTGACATGGAGACCTGAATCTCTGCCAGCTTTAAATTACATTTCTAAACATTTATTTAACAGTTGGACACTTCACGTCATAACAGAAGATTTTGAAAACTTTCCAGACTAGCTGCATGGTCTGATAAATATTATGTTTAAATGGAAAAAGTTGAGTTTAGAGTCTTTTTTCTTCCCCCCTCTGTCCCTCATTTCAGTATTTAGAGAAGTTCTCACTGCACTTCAGCTGAAGTAGTTGCAGGGGCTGCTGGAAAATGAAGGAGCTTGAGCATCTGGGATGATGCCACTTACTGGGCTGAGGGTGAGGACAGTGGTCCTGGTCAGGTTTTGACCAGGATGCTCTTGCACTCTTCTGGGCATTCTCCACCTGCAATGCTTTGGACAGGCAACCTGGGTGTGAGGCTGTGCCTTTCACCCCACACAGAGCATGAAGAAAGGAGAAAAACATCCCTACAAGGCAAGGCCTTATGTTTTGGCAGAAGTGGTGTTTGGGACTCCCAGCATGGCGATAGTTTGGCTCCTCTGCTTCTAGAATAATGAGATCTCAGATGCATTCTGTCCATAAGTTGTCTTTGCTGGGTTTATGTTAGGCTCACAGATAAAGCTGTGTGATTGTTTGCATCCGAGAGCTCTCCTGTTCTGTGTTCCTGTGTGCTGGGGTCTGGATTTTATTTCTTTAGGCAGTGACTGCACATGAGAGAGGAACATAGGGAAGAAAATGAAGCAGCAGATTTTGGGTTCCGACTTTGCAAATCTTGGAACTGGCTCTGAGGAGGAAATGACACTGGTAAAAGTTAATCCTGGCAATCAGCACTCTGGCATTTCCAATGCATTCCTGCTATGGTTCATTGATCTTGTTTGTCTTTACTGATAGCTAAAGAGAAAATAGCATCTTCCAGAACAAAGTGTGATGAATTTGGCTATATATTGCAGTTCCTATTAAGAGTTTCCCAAACTTTTCCAGTTTGGGTCTTTATCATAATTGCATGATTCATTACTAAGCAGCAGTGTATCTATCTTTAGACTGGAAAGCTAATCACTAATAGCAGATCATATGCAGTGCAAATGCCTGTGGGACCTCTACTCACCTTTGTTATTAAATCTTGGGTTTTATTTTCATTTTGTTTGGTATTGCTCCCCATTCAAATGGCTTGTTAAGAATTTAAGCTTTAAAATTATAGAATTTTTAGAAAGGATTTTGTCCTTGCTATGGAACAAGAAAATGCTTGGGAAAAAATCATATGGGGAAAATGCAAGAAATGCTGTTGCATTTGAAGTGACTTCTGTTCACCCCATTTATACGTGAAGTCCTACTGCAGCCCAACAGCCTAGTATTTTAGTTCAGTAGTTCCACATTTCACTCTGCTTCCTGTGTCCGACCCTCTAAGGCCAATGTGTCCTTTGAGACCACGAGTACCCTTAAAATAAACATGTGCTTCAAGCTTTTGCTGAACTGGAGCACTGATGGCTTTGCCAAAGGTCAGCCATCACAGATAAATAATTAAGGATAGACAGAGTCAGATGTCACGGTCCACAGCTAAAATGCCAAATCCATGCAAAATTCCCCTCTGTGTCATAAGAGAGTTCAGTGCATACACTTGGGAGTGTAAGCACTGGGGAAAGGGGTTCTCTTTTGTTCCTTGCAATTTTCTGCTAGAAATTGCAGGCAGAGTGAAGAGTATACATATATGTATAGGGATACATATGTATCCACCTCATATGTTTTGTCCCTGGGAAACACTGCTCAAAGAGCAACATGAAGAATCTAGGCGAAGTCCAAAGGCACTTCATAGAACGTGATACTGGTTTTTTGGATTTCAGCAACTCTCTGCAGGCTGTTACATCTATTCAGTACATAATTATACCTATTGAGAGCAATTACAATAGTAGTTAAAAATGAATAATCTACAGAAAGAGATATTTTTGTAAATTTTTAGAAGAATTCCTACATTCTTGTATAATTTCTATATCCTACTATTTGCCTTGTTCTTAGATCACTTGAGGCATCTTCAGTAGGAAGCAGCCTTTTTTCAGGGCTGATGTAAACTCTTTGACTGCCTCTGAGTCCATAAGGCAATATTGTTACCCTCAGACCTTTTTGCCTTTCAGTACTGTAGAAACACTCTGGATGGCTTTTCAATGTTTTTCATCTTGGTTCACTCTTTCTTCCCATCCCTTAGAATCGTGGGCTTTTTGCCAGGACGCCCTTAGCCACATTGCATGGAAAGACTGTGGCCAGGCACACGTGCATTGGGATGCAGAGATGAGCTGGCCAGGAGCCCATGGCGTGAGTCAGCTGCCACTGCCCTGCTGGCACTGGCTGTGTTCAGTACAGCTCTTCTAACAGCTCTCTGGTCCTCCAGCCTGCGCTTGCACATTGAGGATATCTGCAGACTGCTTAGGGTAGGCAGCAGTAAGAAAGTAAAAAAGTTGAGAATCTGGGTGCTTTGCAAGGGATTTGGTCTGGTTGCTCAGCTGGAACACCTATTTCCATGTGAGTCCCTAAATGTATAGCCTAAAGGGGTTACAATACTTCTGTTTGTTAAAAAGGACTCATTATTACACATCCCTAGTCATTCCAGTGGTCCAGTATCTAACAAATGAGGAACAGAAAGGCCAAGTCCCTCCAAATGAATGTCTCAGTCTCAGACCAACTGGGACCACAGATGAATTAACAATGAAGGAGGACCAGAGGACAAGGATGCTTTGCTTTCAGCTGGATTTTTTTGTCCTCACAGAGAAGATCATCTTCAGCAATCAGCTACTAAATTTCCAGATTAAAACTAAAGAAGCATTGAGGGAGGGTGGTTATTATTTAACTTTGATTGGTCCGTGAATCATCCACAGAGCAACCACTCGGCATAGCAGAAGTTACAGGTGGGCAAGAAGAAAAAGCAGTTGATGGAGGAGGGAATGCTTTTCAAGAAAGCACCCTCCTGAAGTTAGCATTTAGTGGAAAGCTGACTCTAGTGACACTTCAGTCTTCTCCTTTCTCAGCATATGCAAATTATCATGACCAAAGAAAAGCTAATTCATTTCTATGTCTGGTTAGTAAAACACATAAAATTCCTATCTGTACTTCAGAACTGTATTAGAGAGCCATTCCTACAGCATATGGAGTGCTCAGATGTCAAGGTGCATTGTAGTAATTCTTCACATACTAACCTGGCCAGTAGTACATGGAAACGTTCTTTTTAGCTTTCATCATTGTGACCCACAAAGGCTCTGATCCATTCCACCAGAGAGGCAGCAGGCTTTCTTTATTCACACCAATATCAAATGATACATTTGCCTTCTGGTCCCACATGTAGTTTCCAGTCATCTGATGGACCTCGCAGTGGCGACCTTCGAGAGTGGAGAAAAAAGCAGCACAATCAGACTGGTGCTCCTCAGGAGAAGGATGCTGGCAGCACCACCACTGCTACTACTGGATCATCCAGCAAATCAGCTGAAAAGCTCTGTCTTGAATTCCAGGATCTCTCACCTTGCAACCATTCATAAAATCTCCCTGATTCTTACCTTTCACTGAAGTGCTCCAGTTTGATTACTAAATCCCCCAGATCAGACAACCAAAAGTCAGTTGCTGAAGTTTGTCAGCCCCTGTGTTCCCTTCACAATCAGATAAGAAGAGTCATGTCTAGAAAGCAATTCATGCCACCCTAAGATAGGCATCTCAGGTGTCTGGAGGTGCATACGCTCTCAGTTATTGGTAGCCTTTTCTCAGCTTCAGGAAGCCAAATTTTAGACAGCTGAGGCCAGAAGAAACAAACCTTGCACCCCATGTCCTGCTCAACATTTCAAACCCAGCCCCACACACAGACTCTGTCAGCAGCAGCCCACAGGTGCCATATGTTTGGCTGACACCTGGCTCCTTCTACACACCCAACACCTGCCAAGTCTGAGGCCATTTTAAGGTACCTATCAGCACTCACAACCAGAGGGCTGTGGGAAGCTGTGAACAGAAAGTGATAAGAGCATAATCTAGAAACATAGAACAAAGATTGAGAAACTTGCATTTCTTCTTCCTTTATCCATAGGGCACACTGGTTTTCTGCAAACAGGCAAAAACTAGGCAAATGCATTTATATGTTACTTTTACTTTCCATTTTTGTTCATTTTTCTTTGTTTTTCTTGTAATCATCATGCTTTGTTCTTGCTTGTGGGCACAGAAATAATTTCATTAGACATGTTCAGGCCTCTTACTGTACTGAGGGACTCTTGGGCAACTTCATATTACAAGAAACTAGTATATAATAACTGAGAGATATCGTCTACTTCTTGTAATTGTCAGAAGATAAGATGCTATATTTTAATAATTATTCTGAAGATGAATTAACAGAAATGAGAAGAGAAATGTTGAAGAATAAGTTGTACTTGAAGTTCCTTATTTACATATCTTAAAAAGCAATGACTGAAGCATATGATAGACACTGTCCTCATTACCTGATGAGTCATGTTATTGCAGGGATCCAGATAACAGGCTTTGATTATTTTGAGCCTGAGGGCGGTGATCAGACCTGAAATAACCTTGGTATTCTTGTTCTGAAAAGATGTCATTTCAAGCAGAGGACTCTGTATACTTTGGGGTCATGTGATCTTGAAATGGATTTTGAACTCTCCTTCCCTACTAAAAAGTATTTCAATTACACAGAACATTTCCTCCTTCCCAGAGGAGAAAAGTGGTCCCAGTTTGTGGTAGTCAATACTTATCACACTAACCCAAACAGGTTTAATAGAGGAGAACTGGTGCATTGGATGGGCAGTGATCTGTTCCCTTCAGGCTGCCACGTGCTCTCTTTTCTGTAAGTCTCAAAAGAGATAGAAGGGAGGTCTCTACAGTGCATCAAAAGCACAGCAGTGCAATTTACAGGACAACCTCAGCTTCTTGAAGTCCACGTATTCCTAAGCAGCTATCAACCTGATAAACTGCAGCAGGCAATTTGTGCCAACCTGGGAAACTTACAGGTCAGTGCTGAAGCTCTATCAGTGTGAAAACTACATATTAGGGATCTGTATGATGTATAGTGTAGACTTCATATAGAATTAATGAACTCTAGCTGCAACTGAGCCTATAGGACTTAAGGTCTGCTGTTTGTCCACTTTTTTAAGGAAGAGACTGGAGATTGTTCTTTGTAGTATTGCTGGGAAATTTAATTAACTGTTTGAACTAATACAGAGGACAGTGTTCTGTTCTCCATGTTAGATTAGCTCAATTTTCTATGGACTCCAAACCCTTTTCTTACTGTAGAAAAAGAGGCCTAGAAGATTATAAGGCATCAGTTTTCATTGCAGACATCCCTGGTTCACAGGGTCAGAAAAGATCAGGTGAGCAACACATCAAAAGACATGACCAGTTAATGCCATTCCTGTCTGCTTACCTGAGGCCTGTGTCTCAGAAAGACCCTAGACCTCCTTGGAAGACATCAATAATCAAGCAATTAACCTCTTCCTTTGGTTGCTCCTTCTGATATTTGTCATCAGTTAACAATGTTTAAAAGTATGCCTGATATCTAATTTTATTTTTGACCTTTGTTAATCTTCAACCCTGGCTATTCCAAGCCTTGCTCACTAGATTGAAAAGCCCTGGAATAACTGGAATTTCTGCCCCTGCCCCCTCCCCCCAGGATACTCGTACACAGAATTAAGGCCAATTCTCAAGTTTCTTTTGGGTCACCCATACAACACTTTTTCTTTATATCCCATTTTCACTTGTTTTCTCCAGCCTAAGAGAATTACCTTGGTGTACTTCTTTTGAATCATTATCAAAATAGCAACATGGTGTTAGAGAGTCACCATAACACTCAGAATGTATTACTTCGTCCATTACTGCAGCTTTCCTCTGTAATCAAACGTTATCTTAAGAGTTTCAAAAATAGAAACAGGGCAGAAAGCAATTTCAGCATACAGATATCACTATTTAAACTCACTGTAATTGTAGTAAAAATAACTCCTTCCTCAAGCAACAGAGAAAAACAAAGAGGGTATAGTTCCCAAGAATATGATAACTGCTGTATCCTTCTGGAGGAGAGCCAGCAAAAGCATTTGCAAGTCTGCATGCTACAGCTTACTTGGACACTACACTTCATACAGCATTTGTCTGAAGCACATTCCCATGTCTCCAGGCACTTTTGTCAGCATTCAAATGAATCTCTGCAAAAGAAAGACGAAATTTAAAAAGCCAGCAGAACACACAGCCACTGGGCCACCCACAGCAGCAGCACAGTAACACTGAGTGCTGTGCACCCTGCCCTGGCTGCGTGTGAGATCTGGAAACCAGTGTGTGTGCTCCTGGGACATTTGCCATCTCTGCACTGAGCCAATGGGATTTATCAGAGAACCCACAGTGTGTGTATTAGCCAGTGCAGCAAAGGTACCACAATCTGATGGTGAACATCAGTACATGCATTTAGCTAAATGTACTATGCAATATTATAAATATGCCTTGCCGCTATGGTGAGACCTTTCCGCTCATGTCCCACCATGATGTCCCCGGACAAGGGTCAGGGGGGCAGATGCAAGCACAGGCTGCCACAGGGCTATACAATCTGGGGAAGAGTTAAGTTCCTCCATGCAAACAGCTGGATGACTTGCTTTGGGAAATGCGCTGCTCTGCTCATGTTGCCTCCCATAAGGATGAAGAAAGCAGGACTTAAAAGTCACCAGCACCATATTCCTGTTCTGGAGCAGATATAGCAGTTGCTGTCCCCAGGAAGCTTTGATATATGCACTGCTCTGCTGCTCCCCTGATGGGTCTCACTTGGTCTGCTTTGACAAGAAAGACAACAGGGTAAAAACTATACCCATGCGCTAAACCCTAAGTAGCCTGGAGAAGGCCAGAGCTCATGAGAAGTCTCAGGGGAATGCTGCCCTGGGCAAAGTGGCCCTGCCATCTGCAGACCCCCAAGTAAAAACAGTACTTGCATGGACAATTAATGTTCCAAAGGAGTTTGCTGGTAAAGTCTTTCCAAATTTTTATGACCTCTAACATCAGACAAAGCCAAAGCATGAATACCTTAGCCTGTGTCAGGCAAAACTTTGCAATTCAACCAGAATCACATCAAAAATCACAGAAAAAAAAAAAACAACCAAAAAACTCTGCTATGCACAGCACGATTTTTTTCCCCTAAAGGGGATTCATTTAGTACAGCTTGAAACTCTTAATTCAATGCTTTCTTCATGGGGCCAGGGCTGGGGTGCACAAAAATTGCTAATAAATCATCCAGCTGAGGATTTGCAGATGCTTTCTTGTGTGGGAAGTCAGGTCTTGTGTCTCTGGAGAGCCAGGACTCCAGGCTGTTGATTATTCTTCTGAATTGTGGTGGGCTCAAGGACCACTCTGAGACCCCCTGAACCCCCAGAGCTGGGTGTGGCTGGAGGGCACTGAAGCTCCAAGCACTGGGCAGAACGATAGACAAAGCTGCTGCCTGCATTGTTAGACAGAGGATGAGCCTCTGGCAGTGACTTCAGCTTTGGGCTAACAGATATCTTGATATGTGAATGTCTACTTAGCTAACAGCTGGCAGTAGGTACACTAGTTGTGAGCTGTGAGATTGTAGCTAATAAGGAGGAAATAACTCTGTATTTTAATTTGTAGCATCGTGAACTTGAGTTAGAAAAAAACTTTCTATTCTACATTTTAGAAGTGTTTCCATTTTTTAACTGGTAGAAAGCAAACACCAAATTTTGCAATATTTTGTGTGAGAAAGAGAAAAATCTTGACACTTGGCATAGCAGCCTTTCTGCAGCTGGTGAGTAAACAAAGTGAGGAAGAATGTGAAAAAGAAAATCCTCCTGATTCCTACTATCTTTTCCAGCCTGTTCTTGCTGGGATAGTACTCTTTCTCTGTCAGTTAACAGAATTACCACAGCTCATGCTCTTTTGCTTCCCAACACAGAAATTTAGAAATGTAAAGCTAACGAATCCAAGAACAGGAAGAGACTTGATTTCAGAGCTTTATGTCACAAACAGAATTTTTTAAATCTCTGCTGCTGCTGGCATCTGTAGCTGTTTGAGAGGACCAAGAAGAAAAAGTCATTTTCCCTTGTCACTCATTGTGCACTTTGTGTCCTTCTGGATTTTTTCTAAGCTTGGACAGTGAAGTAAAGATAGTTTTAGTTCATGTGTATGTAACAAACTACCCTGTTGTACTCCTATCCTTCCATTTTTTATGCCTCAGAAAACATGCAGGTATCGCTTACATAATTAAGAACTTGCTTAACTGCTGAACAGAAATTGTCAGCATCCTTTTCTGGACAAGGCTGGAGTCAAGATGCCATTAACTGTGCAGCAGAAAAGAGGCATCCACTAGAACCATCACCAGGCTGGGCTCTTTCAGGTGCTGGGTGGAAGGAGCCTGGAGCTGCTGTACTTCTAATCAGGAAACCTCTCACAGTAAACAGTGAATATACGACTATGTGTGCACATCAGCCAGACTGCAAGGGATTCCAGGGCTGGGAGCCCAAAGGGTATTTTCTCCCAGAAAACATGGAGTAAATGGGGTGCAGTATATGCTGATTTGCTGTGCTCAGGGGAGAATAGATGTAGATTATTTATTAGACTTTGGCATCACCCACCAAAGCCCCTCAGCACTTAAGTGTGCCAACATCAGGACTGAGGAGTGAAGGGAAGATTGCTGAAACATGGAAGACGGGTGAAATCTTCAGTCTGGCAGAGTCCTTGATGTCATCTCTCCGTGGGAGCTCTGCCATGTCACCCCATTCCCTACTGCTATGCAGAGGAAGAGGTCATGGCAAATGTAGGGGTGAGCTGCAGTGGCTGAGAAAACACCACACACCACCCCTGTATTTTAGACAACGCCCAAATGTGTCATCACTGTGTTAGAGTGAGTCTGGGCACACCTGCAAAGGCCACAGCCCTCACTCTGGGTGTGGGAGACTGAAATGTCCTCTAGTCTACCTTTTCCTTCACCCCTCAAGCTTCAGGGGACCTCACAGCCCCTCTCCCACTTATTTAAGATCAGGTCCTGTCCAAAGAGGCACATGGAGGCTCCTTGCTGGCTCCTCTCTAAACAGTTTCCCACCCATCTCTGCAATCAGGGGCTCCCTTTGCTTTCCATGGAGGCCAAGTGAAATATGACTCTTGGATGTGGGGCTGCACAGCTGACCAGGCAGCTGGCACATCCACATGGAAGACCTGCCAGAAAGACTTCATTTCTAGTTATGATCTTGGAAAAGAAATCCTTTCTGGATTTCTATCTCAGATATGATACTCTCTGTTCATGTTTATGCTGGCTGGAAGTGTGAGGTACCACTGAGTGCTCTCAGCTGGAGACTCCAGGAGAGCTGGGCTGCAGGGAGTCCTTCATCACCCCTCCAACACCTGCAGGTTGTCAGGTAAGGGAGACCCAACCAGAGCATGAGCAGCTTTTCTTGACAGATGTGGCATGAAGTGCTCTGAAGCAGTAACTCCTGCTTGCAGTGCTTACAGGGGAGACCTCAGACTTTCCACTGAACTTGGCATGAGAGCTCCCTGCAGAGCCAGGCCACAGCAGGGAAAGGGCAAAATTAAAAACTCCCCACAGGACAATAACCCAAGATGGTTTGTGGTCTTAATTCCTTCCTTTCCAAAACAAACAGCACATGGTATGATTGAGGGAGCCTTTTAGAACAGATGTATTTGGACTCCTTCTTACCTCCCTTGCCAAGCCCACAAAGAGTCCTGCAAAAGCTCTGTCACAGCTGCAACATCTCCTTTTACCTAATTCTCCATTTCATGTTTTTCAGGTCAACAATTGCAATATTGTAACTGCACCATGGAGAGCCAGCACACCAGGTAGGATTCAGTCTAGCAGCTCAGAGAGCAACCCAACCACCTAAAAACAAGTCTTTCTGCCACAGTAGAAGCCAATACTAAGAAACACGGCATACTGGAAGTTGCTAGAGAAGACTGCTTTTCAAAGATTTGGGTTTTAAGCTAGCACATCTTTGAGCTACCTTGCACAGCACCAGGTTTTTGCAACAAAACAGCTTCTCTGGTTGCTTGTCAGTGAGATCCCTTTGCACCAGCCCTGATTTGGATCTTGTTTGACACTTCTTCAAGCAAATAGCAGTTCTGATGCTGTGCCCTGGGTGCAGGAAGACTGGAGCTTCATCCCAAACTCTGAATGACTTTGTGATTTTACATTTTTCTATGCTCTGGTTTTCTTTCTCATAGTTGGGGTAGGAAAGGAAAAGACCTCTAAGCAGGCTCTGGGCTTTGGGCTGAGGCTTTCTGTGTGCCTTGGGGAAGCTCCAGCAAGTATCTTCTCACAGGTTAACAGCAGCAGGAGGGGGACCCATGAAGAGCTCTGCCATAGCCCTGCAGCACTGCATGACCACAAGCAAGTCACCTCCCTCCCATGCTTTCCTTCCAAAATTTCACCAGGCTGGACCCTGTTTGTCCTGCTGTGTCAGTGCTTCACCCAACACCTCGTCTCAGCAGAAAGGGGTGAGGTTCTCATTAGCATAGGTGAGTTAGTTGCTTTTAGATATGTGGTTTTTGGTCAACAGTTACGATTGCATCTGCTTGGCATCTGCACTGAGAAGCACTGGGGCCAGTGCTGCTGATCTCCACAACCTCTGCCTGCGGGTCTGGGCAGGAGGAGGAGGTGAGCTCATGTCTGAGGAGACTGACCTGTCCCAGTGGTGATGGTATCTGAGGGGCAGAGTCCTGTCCTCCTCCAAAGCCACAGGAACGAGGGAGAACTTCTCTCATTTGGTAACAACTCAACTGCTCTGGAGTCATGAAGCTTGCATGGATGTGGGGTGAAGGGAAAGGCTTTGCTCACAAGAATGAACAGAGGCAAGTCGGATACACACAAACTACAACACTTCTATGCACATGTTGTCCAAGACCTGGCAGCCATGAATGCTCCTGGATGGACATGGAGCCATAATGCCTTGTGAATGAGTAGAGAAAGAAGGGACATAAGTCTTTATCAAAACAAAACAAAAAAACCAAAGTGGGATATCATGAACAAGCCAGGGGTGGGAATGTGCAATTTCTTAAACTGATTTGAAAGACTCCAATATACTACAAAGACAAAGACAATGTTTTGGAAGTTAAAATGTGATTTTCTTAGCATTTCCTGAAACAGTGGTGTAGGACAGGACACGAATAATAATTTGTTCCAGATTTCTCAGAAGAAATGGCAGCATTTAACTCCCAGACATCCCAGTCACAAACAGAAATAAAAGCAGTTACAGTTGTGTCTGCCTGCAGCAGAGGGGCTGCATGGCTGGTGAGATGTGATGAAAGCTTCCCCATACTCCTACAGCAGTACCAGGGAAACAGTAGCTTGCCACTCCCTAAGCAGGTCATTGTGGCATGATGCTTTTGTCACCCTGCCATGCTGAATTGTCTCCAAAACCTGTCCCAGCTTTGCAAATTTAATGGATGCAGACTGAACACAGCTTAACACTACATCTGTCACATGCTCTGCACTCCTAACCCCACTATCCCATAAAATCTCAGTGGAAATGGCACCATGGCCCCAAAGGGTAAGAACAGTGCAGCTATGGGATTTACCCTGCTGTCATGCCAAGACACAGTCATGGGGTTAACTAACACCCCAGGGGCTCAAGGGCAGACTTAGATCTTTCTCTGGGCAATGTTCATCACCTAAACGTAGTCCTCAGTTGGCTCCTGACCTACTTAATACTACTGTGACTCATGCGTTAGGGAGGTGAATTGCTATTTGCAATAAAATTGTATTTGCATTGATATTCCTATCATAAAGTCTGGGAGACTTGCAAGAATATTGAGTTTCGTCTCACAGACTCCCTTATTGCTTCAGATTGAGGTGCAGGACTCTTCTAAAAATATGAAAAGTCCAGTAGTGGTGTTTCATGTCTTACAACAAAACTTCTTTGTGAGTACAAAGTAGGAGGTTTTCAAAACTCTTCAAAAGACTGATAATAGACTTCACTTTATGTATCACACTTAACAGGAATGATGACTAAATGTGGTTAGGAGTGAAATGTCACTCACTCTTTTTCTTTAACAGCTCCATCCAATTTTTTTTCGCACCTATGAAGTGTTAGGTCGGTTTGCCTATGTACACTTGAAGAACGTGTCCTGGAGTGGAACACCTCTGTTTTCTGTCACGACATTTATACTGCATTCATATATTTGCAGCAAATAATGAAAAAGAATCAAAACCAACCCTGTTGTGGTTTTATACTCTTCTCTGATCAGAGATGAGCAAGAGAAGAGTGTTTCTCTTCAGAGAGAGAGAGGGAGGAAGGGGTTAAGCAGTTTCAAAACAAACTGGGCACAACTGATGTCAGATTTTTGTCTTACAATGGCAGCTATTTGCTTTCCCAGCAAGCAGTATATGAATCACTGGGCACTGCATTGTTCCAAGAATAGCAGAAGATGCCACATACCTTAGGAGAGGATAGATTTTCTTACACCTCCTCATTGGTTGGAAACTCCTGCTTATTTATTAACTCCAGAGAAAAATCCAAGTAGAAACTCCAGGGGAAAAAAAAAAAACCAACCAAACCAACAACAACAAAAAACAAACAAACAAAACAAAACCAAACCTGTTTTGTTGGGATCTGTTTTTTTTTATTCAACTTTTGCTTCATTGGTGTCTGACTCTGAAGGAATTGGCCCAGCTCTACTCTCTGCACCTTCCTAGTGTCACTGTAATCATGTGTCCTCCACATAAGATTAAAAGCAAATCAGCATCATGAAAACTATGACTGTCCTCTCAATTTTCTGAAAGCCTCCCCTGGACATTCTGAAAAACTGCAGAGGATGAAAAGCAAAAATCCTGTTTTTCCATTTGGCTATTTTGAATTATTACAGATATGAGGACTTGTAGCAAAGTTAAGAAAACAAAAAATCTACTAAGTTTAAAAAGAAATTTAATGCTGAACTTGCCAAAACAGACCTGCTGACTGAAAGTAAGTTCTTAGTGTAGCCACACTTGGTTCACGTGCATTTTTATTAAAGCCCCTGAGCAGTCTCTGTATTCATTTCCCATGTTGTTCACAGTCACAGTTGTTCCTCTATTCTGTATACGTGCAGTAGCCTCCTTGGTGCTTGCACTAGGCAAGCTGGCCATGATGCTGAGGTGGCAGCAGGTAGGGACCCAGCTACACCTTGGATGAGCAAAAGGGAACTTAAACAATTAGTTCCAGGTGGCATATTCAAATTTGGAACACATTTCAGAGAAACAATTCTGGGCTGTAATGCCACAGTGCTTTTAAACTCGCAGCTAAAAGCACGACTTGGGTTATTTTTATATCTTCTGTGGAAGAAAAAGTCACAGGGAGCTGCCTTCCACCTTGGCACGGGGAGCTGGCAGCTCTGAGGAGCATCACAGCACAGAAACACAAGTACTCACCCGTCATCAGTGTGTAGTAATTTGGGTAAGAGAGGCTGGGGAAGTCTGGGGTCATGTAATCCACCTTCACCCCCATGTTCACAATGTCCCGAAAGCCCGGCAGACCCTCCAGCTCGCTGTCATCAATGTAGTCGAAGCGAAAGCCGTCGAGCAGAAACACCAGGAGCTTGCGGTGGGCCGAAGAGGCGGCGGGAAGCGGCAGGAGGGCGGTGAGGGCAGCGGCCAGGAGGGCGGCCAGGAGGCTGCGGCTCCCCATGGCAGGCGGCGGCTCGGGATCGGCGGCGGCGGCGGGGCTGGAGCGGGCGCTGCTGTCCCCCTGCCGCTCCCAGCGCCCGCGTTAAAGCTGCAGCGCTGCCCCGGCCGCGGGCGGGGGAGGTCACAGGTTAATTGCAAGCAGATGATTAACCTCGAGCTGAGGGAAGAGCTTGGTCCTTCCTAGCTGCAGGAAAAAATGCTTCGCGCCGATGGGGAACACCCAGCATAAAAGTAACTGGAGCCTCTGAGGACGCTCCGCAGCCGCTCCCGAGGCAGAGCGGGCACGCTGCCCGCGGGCCCCGGCCAGGAGGGGCCGCCGCTCCCGGCGAGCCCCCACCGCTCCCCTGCCGAGCCCCCACCGCGCCCCCACCGCCGGCGGCACGGAGCGGAGCCCGCTCACCGCCCAGCCCAGCTCCGCGCCGGGGCTGCGGCTCGCAGGGGGCTCGCAGAGAGGGGCGGCAGCCTTTGAAACACAGCTTCACATCTCCAGCAGCGCGAACGCCGGCTTTATTCGCATCTCTCCGGCAGTGGCTTCTGATAGAACTCAGAGTGAGATTAAGACAAAGCATCTCCCCAGCTGGGAAGTGCAGTACGTGTGAGTTGGCGTCCAGCATTTCGGTGGCATGGCGGTACCGCTGAGCTCCAGCTGAGCAGGTTCTCCTCTCTCTATCTGGATGCGAGTCCCTGCAAAGCTCCCTGTCCTCTCGGTTTCCTCTGTGCTGCCCTGGGACTAATCCAGCTCCTGACGTACCAGCAGAAAAATCTAGCTTCAGCTAGATAACAATTTATACATTTATTTTCTGGCTGTTGATATTATTTAGATATTCAGTGCTGGATAGTGCCTAATTTCATATTAAAAATGAAAAAGTGCTCACTTTTTAGTCACAAGTCACTACCAGGCTCTTCTCCTTCACAGAAACCTGACTATACCTCCTCTAAAGCAATGCCAGCACCTGTTGTACACCACAACTGCACTTTACTTTCTTTACTTTCTTTCTTTTTTCACAAATAAAAGAATTTCATAGCACCGACAACATTGTCTAACTGTGGGAAATGCCCTTTGCAGATGTTTCCACCTGTGGAAGGCTGCAATAGCTGGCCACCATCCCAGTGTGGGCATCTGAACTTCTTGCTCCTTTCAAAGCTCCCCATTGCACATCCAGTTACCTCTTACCAAATACTGGGCTGGTGCAAACTCAGCAAGATGGCTTCAGCCCCATTTGTCCCAAGCACTTATTTAGCCCCTTGTAAACCCCCCTCATGTCCTGGCTTGCCTTTTGCACAATGTTGTACTGTGTGCTGGTGCCTGTGAGCCAATGCTGCTGCCTGCAGGTCACTGTCCCAGGATATCGCTGGAGATGTTCCGTCCATGCCCTCCTCCCACAGGGCTTCCAGCTCAAAAAGATGCCCTGTCAGGGAAGGGGTGCTGGACTTTCTGTAGGAGGTAGTCATTCCAGGAAGGTGGAAGAGGATAGAGTAGGAGTGCAGCCAAGCAGAACTGCACAGGCCCTTCAGCTGCCTGTGCTTTTGTTCACCTTCTCAGTAAAATTCCTCATGCTTCCTCCCTATCAGAGGACTAAATGCACTCTTCATGGACATCTCCCTCTCTGTCATGCGCCCATCCACCTTTTTCCCCTTTTTTTTTTTTAATGTGCCCCTTTTCCCATTCTCATATTGGAGTCCAGCACTTGGGAGATACCCTCACATCAGTTAAACCTGAGGCAAGAACTTGGAGCATTTCTAAGCTCCAGCTCAGGGGTCTTTAAAGCAACATAGGGACCTAGCCATTCAGAGCTTTATCCCTGTTCACATAACATTTACTTTGGAAGCCTTGCATTGCTAGCTATCATCATCTCAACAACTTTAATTCTATGTTTTGACTTTTCTTATCTTGCTTGGCTGTAGTTAATTTATTTTCTCACAGTGCAGCAGCAATTTTCTTAGCAAAAACCAACCTGGGGTCACACAGCTGTGCCACACCTTGTGTCAGAGACAGCTGAGCCCTGGGCCATCCGTAAAACTTCCTGCCCACGAGAGGGAAACCTGGACTGTGGTCCCCTGGGATGATAAAATGTCCTGGTCCCCTGAACAGACATTGGTACTGGCATGCTCTGGACGTTGAAGGAGAACACACAAATCCTGCCGTGCCGGGAAAGCCGTGAGACTGCGTGACCCGGGCAGTTGGTCCCTGCTCTGAGAGCGTCTCAGCCTGTGCAAGGCTGCCCCTGCCCTGCCCGCGGGGACAGGGACGAGCTGCAGCTGCACGCCAGGCTGTGCACGACGTGACAGCCTGGGCAGCGCTGGGGGCAGCTGCTGGCCTCAGGGATGGCACGTGCTGCGTGTCACACCTACGGAGAGTCACCGCTCTTCTCAGCCATCTCCACACTCCACGGCGTCTCAGCCAAGGGTCTGCCGCTTCATCCGCCTCCTGAGGAGAATGTGCACATCCTTCTTCTGCTGCAGAACTTGTGTTCAGAGACAGCACTTCTACTAGTGCTCACTGTGGATTTTCACTCTAGCAAAAACTTTATGTTGTGGGCTTGGAGCTTGTAGTGTCATGTCTTGGCCAAGCCGCTGTGGTAATTTATTATGTCCATACTTATATTGAATGAACTCAGGAACATGTTCAGAAATGAGAGGAAAATATTATTATGCACCTCTTGGCAGACCCACAAGGTCATTCACATTGATGTCTTGGCTTGTCCTCTAATGTGTGGCCTCTGGGCTTACTAGCAGGGCTCAGCAGCAACAGCAGCTGCTGCCCATGAAGGAATGGGATAATAGAGGAGAGCCAGTAAAGTGTCTGAGATGGACTCTCACCTTGAAAGTATGACCAGGTTTTTTAGGTGGTTAGGCCAAGAAGCCAGGCTTCCACCATGAGATGGTACAAAATATATGTCTTCTTAACATGTTAAGGCATTAAGAAATAGCACCTTCCTTTCAAAAGGGTTGCTTTTATTTAACAAATAAAATTGATTTAAATTTATTTAACGAATCTTTTACTTAATAGCCCCTTAAGAGAAAGGTCTATCTGAGCTGACAGTGGCATGAGCGACAATTGGTGCAAGGTACCAGAGCTCGAAATCTGCCTTAAGAATTGGGATTTACAGGTTTCCACTCAACAAATAAGAGTAAGGCCTGAGAGGGGTTAAAGGACTAGTGAGCCATGTAACCATGATGCTGTATAATACCAACTTGTGTTTTGACAGACAATCCCCCTGAAGAGTGGGACTGGAGCCAAACAGTCTCTAGCTTGGCAGAGACAGATCCTAGCAATACATTTCATTCATGCCAAGCAATGTTGACTTGCTTTGGTTCACATTCATTTGTAAGCACCCTGTCTGCACAAAGCCCCAGATGGCCGTGGAGACTCCAGCACAACAATATTTTGATACAAATACTCTTACAAAAGCTAACAGAGCCTGAGCTGGTGTCTAGGGACAACAGTCCTCACTAGTTAGCTGTTAGACAGGGTTTAGGAAGAAGCATACATAAAGGAAAGAAAATCCTTCAACTCAAATTGAACATAAGGAGATACCCCATTGATCCAAAATTATTAGAGAAACAATCCTCAGCCACTTAGATTGTTCAAGAAATCCTCTTGGCAAAAACTGTCTCCACTGTCCTTGAATCTATCCTTCCCCCCGCCCNCCCCCAGTCCTACAGAAATCACAAACATAACAATAGAAATGAAAGAAAATTCTCTGGGCTCACACCAATAGCTCAATCTGCCTTGTCAGATATACCAGCCTTCCTTCCTGGCAGTGCAACTCTACCTGTGCTCTTAGGTCCAGGAGCACATGCAAGAACAGCTGCTAAAATAAAACATCATTTCCCTTTTCCCCAGTGAACTAGAAAACCTAAGAGGAAAACTTGTCCTTCTTTCTCTTCTGAAAGAAAGAAATCATAACATGATTCATTGACGGGTTGTAGTTCCTTTTCAGTTCCTGTTCTCCTTCACACACAGTAGTAGTAGAACACTTTGGCCAATGCAACCTGACTGGTTTGGTTGTTTCTTTTCTATCATTAGAGAAGAATGCAGGCCACATCCAGATATAAAAGCCTTGAGCTGCTTCTATTTTTTTGAAGAAGAGAGTTTGTGCCAGTCTGAAGTTTTAATTCTAGTGGTCTAATGTTCTTCTTCCTCTTAACCCCACCAAACCCAAGAAAACACAAAAGTCACAGGTGGTACTAGGCCCACTGCTGACTTCCACAGAAAACCTCTGGCAATATCAGAGGTTCAGTATCAGCTTCTGAGCTGACAGAAGGTCTTACCTTGGTAGAAGTCATTGGCTGCAGCAGTTTAGTATCACTTTCTTTGCTCCTGCCGTGTGCATTCTCACAAATGCTTCTGCATGGAGGTGTGCATCAGGCAAGGCATCTCTGCCCCCTCAGATCTTCCTGGATGATACTTTATGTCAAGTCAGTTGTTTCTGTGATCTTGTGGTATGCAGTAGTTCATCCACAAGGAATTGAAGGCATGAGAAGCGGGTTGCTCTTGCTGTCAGTCATGTACAGATGTGTATGATAAAGTCACACACTTGTTAGCTACAGAGTATTTCAAAGCCAGAAACTCCAGCTTTCCTGGAGAAAAGTAGAGATCTTTCACTGTTTCTTGAGGCAAAGTTTTCCTCTAACCTAACTATCTGGTATGAGACTTGCTTTACTGAAAACATTCACATGCTGAATAAGGAGTACATCAAAGTAGGAGAGTGACCACCCTGATTGACAGCCAGGGGCTGTTTAATGTTCTTTGAAGTGCCTCAATTCAGGCAATTGTAATGTTTAGAGAGCACCTCTCCAAATCTCTTACTCTGTCGTCCACTACAACAGTCACAGGTCATTTCAATAACTTTTCTAGTTGAAGAATATCTCTTGGAGATGAAGAAATTTAATGAATTAGTGCAGAAGCCTCAATGGCTCCCAGTTTCCTTGCAAGGAGCTGCATGGGCTTGGTACATCATTGTCAGCACTGCTCTATGAATGCTCCCTGACAATGGT